GGAGACCCCAAAATAAAAAGGGCAAGAGGGTACTACTGCGGTATCTAGCCTAGAGATCCAAGTCTACAAATAATACCTACATTGGGCTCTGAAGTCTGTAAATCTTACCTACATTGGGCCATTTGGATCCCTAGGGTTCTCAAGGCAGGCTCTATGAGTTCCATGTGGCTAAAAGATGGGTATTCCTCCTAAACCCGAAACCCTAAGCATCTACCCTAAACCCTAAACCCTAAACCCTAAGCATCTACCCTAAACCCTAAACCCTAAGCATCTGACCTAAACCCTAAACCCTAAACCCTTAAACCCTTAAACCCTTAAACCCTAAGCATCTCTTGTTTTGCGCTGCCGTTGCGACTACACAGGCGTCGCGACGTCGATATGGAGTCCAGGCCTGTTGGCTGGTCTCACATGGAGGTTCCGGGTTTAGGCTTTACTATAGGAGGACCCCCACCCTGTAATAGTGGTATAATAGGAATATAAGAGGACCCTAGTATAGTTACTACTATCCCTTATAGTCACTATTACAGGGTGGGGGGTCCACCTAAGATTTAGGGTTAATGCCTGAGGGGGGTTCGGGAATCAGGGCACATAGCCCGATAATAGCCTGCTGACAGAACTTAGGAATCCCAATAAAACCCCAATGTAACCTAACTATTACTATATCAAAACCGCCTGTGCACTTCTCTAAGGGCTCCTGGACCTTAAAAGTATAGGGTTTAGGCTCGAAAGTCGGTAAAATACTGGCCGCAATCCCTCGAACTTGTCAACAAAGGCATTATTCCAAACCCTAAGCCCTAATTAAACCCTACACCCCAAACCCTTTGGGGGTCCAGCTTTCGGGGTCCCGGTTGAGCTTTGCTCCGCGACCCGACTTCGATTTCCAGATTTTGGGATCCCTTGGGGGGATCCTTTAGGGGGACCACCCACCCTGAAATGGTGGTATAAAAGGCAAAACAGTGGACCCTCAAAAAATCCCTACTATCTTTCATAGTCTCCCAGTCTAAAACCTAAACCCTAAACCACTAACTATGACAGCACCTAAGGGATCCTGATAGCCGGATTCTAGGACCTTGGTCTGGATATGAAGAGGCCCACTTTTTCCCAAGATATAAGGAAGCTTATGCGTTTTCCATGGATTTACATAAGTTGGTCAGCCTATAAGCCTACCACCGGAACGCAAATTCCTAGGATTTAAGGATTGGTTGGGATGGACTACAGGAGCGAAGTTACTCATGTGGGAAGGCTTTGTAAGGGGAGGAGCGTATAGGAACCATGGGAGCTGTATGTATGTATTTATGTATGTATGTATGTATGTACGTATGTATGTATGTATGTATGTATGTATGTATATGAGCGGCTGCATTTCAAGTGCATCGCTTTTGGGGGGCCTATTGCTTTACAGGGCTTTGGCACACAGGAGTTGTCATACCTTTTGCCTCACAGAGTTTTGCGAGATCCCTTGCGTGGATGCTCCACATCTTTGCTTCTGGATGGGATCCCTATATGTCGCCTGCTTTAAAGTCTCCATGATTTTGTTGGGGGGGGAGGGGGGTCTAACACTTTACGATGTTTTTGCTTGTGACCGCGGGCAAATTTTGGCTCTCTGTGATCTTGGCTCAGCTCATATACAAGGAATATCGGCTTGCACGAAAAGTCTAGTCGCGTGAGCTATAGCCTAAACTCCTACAATACCCTTTAAGAACCTCTGTAGTACTCCCTTATATAACCCCCCTTGAGGAGTTTAGACTATAGCTCACATTGTAGCTCGTCTCCTTCAGTTACCTTATTAGATTGAGGGCAGAAACAGAGCCCTTAGTGAGTTGCAGGCTGGATTTTTCAGGCATAGGGTTTACAGGGTTTAGACAGGGGTTAACAGGGAATAGTTTGTACGAGTTATATAAGGTTTAGGGTTTAGGGTGCAAATATGAGGGGTTATATAGAGGATATATATATATATATATACGGTAATAATAAAGAGGAAGAGTTGAAGCTAGTACATCTATGTTTTGATAAGGTATAAACTAACAGTAGATGTTTTGGTTAGTCATGTTGACCAGATGACGCAAAAGTGCTGTACTGTCCCTAAAATTTTTGGCCTGGGGTTGAAAAGTGCTGTACTGTCCCTAAAAAACCTATTCTCCAGAACCTTCAGACTGGGGAGGCCCTGAAGGTTCTGGAGAATAGTTTTTTTT